GACACTAGACTTATCAAGTCGTTCACCATCTGTCATTCTGTCCTCAACTATTAAAAAATAGATAGAATGGAAGATGTGGATAACAAATATAAACACCTGGCACTTCATGTCGCAAAATTTCAATGATAAATGGAAAACGTGAAAAGTACAGTGTCGATATTTAATGCAATACTTCCTCTCTTATATTTTATTTTTTGTGTTCAAATATATTGATGTATAGTATACATTTTGTAACCAAATTATATTTACCTTCACCTACAAACCATCTCATGTTCTCCTCCACCAGCTCCCTTACTTTCAGCATCAGCCTCCAAACCAAATATGAAACGAAGTAATGCTCTATTGATTTATCGTATCATTTTTTTTTTCAGCACTTAAGTAAACAAATGACAAATCACTTTGAAATAATTGAATTTTTCAAGATTCTTAAGTTTCTTTAATTATTTTACATCAATATATTATTAATATCACCCTTAATTAGAGTATTTTGAACATATAATATCATGAATAATATTATTTGTACATAATAGAGTTATATAATAGTTTATATATAGAAAATATGTCAAAAAGAGTGTAGGGTTTATTATTTTAGTTGAAAAAATTTTGATCCAATCATATCTCACAATATCATGTGTATATAAACTATTATGTACATGTAACATAACAATAATATCATATATAAGAAAGTAAAAGTATTGAATCAGGGTCTGTTCTCTTTACCTTTTTCAAGCTGTTTTCTGTTTTCAATTTTCCAAAACAGTAAAAATGCGTTCTCTTTACTATTTTCGCAAACGCGCTTTTGAAAACAAGTTAAAAATTTATATAGAAAACACAAAACGACAATTTATCGTTTTGAGTATTTTCAATTATAATCAAGCCAAAATTTTCAAACGCGTTTTGGGTGTTTTCAAAATGCCAAAAAGAACAAATTTTCAACAATCTCAAAATGAACACTCAAAACACAAAATCTAAAATGAATTCAAAATTCAAAACACAAAATTAAAATACAAAGAGAATGACCCCTTAATATCTCGTTGGTCATTGTACTTTCCACAATTTTTTTCGTTGATCGCTGTACATTCCAAAACCTTTTTTACTTGCCACAAAATGTTTGTGACATGGAAAAAAATGAAAGGGTAAACGTGACACACGTGAGTATATATTATCCACGACATTCTATCTATTTTTTAGTGGTTGATGACAGACTGCGGACGGTATAACAATTTGTAAAGTTTAGTGGATAGTCAGAGACATTTTAAAGCTTAGCGGCTACCAATAAATATTGTAAAAAGTATAGTGGTCCTTTGTGCATATAACTCTTATATGTTTTATTTTTTATGGAATTTCGGAACTCTTTGGTTCATGGGATCTATTAAATTTTAGAACTTTTGAAGGAACCGAAACAAACCGAATCAGATTGAACTAAAACCGAGTAGTGCCGAACTTAAATGTTTCTATTCAACCTCAAATGTTGGACTACATCACCTCCATGGGCTTTGACTTCTTATACATGGCCTAATCATGGCATGAGCTAATATGTTTTTAGATTGATAAACTCTACACAGACATAAGCTCAGCAAGTTCTGTCTAGTCTAGACTTATTATATTTAGCTAGATGACACGCTCCTATCATGACATAATCAAAAACCTATAAATATGGTTAATGCTCGAACTTAAGGATGCGCAAAGAATATGCACAGGACATATACCATATACAATCAATTGTATGCAAGGAGTCGAAGTCTAAACGTTGCAAGGACAAACTTAGAGGGCTGAAGGCATGGATGGAAGTTGAGCGTGCAATATTACTGCTTGCATCCCAAGCAGAAGCAAGCACAATCTAAGGTTGTATTGGGATGTAACCAAATGCTAAAGTTGTCAAGAGTGTAGCAAAACTTTGCATATGTTTGAAGAAGAGGAGAAACTTGTAGCAGGAGCGGACCCACATAGGATCATGTGGGGTCAAGTGACCCCAAAAAAATTTGAGGTTCTTTTTTTTAACCACCGTCATACAGCCTACAAGAACTTTGTAGAAGGTGCAACCATTCAATTGGGTTCCTTTGTTACAACCACTATACATATTGGTTGTATGTATTGTATCCATGACCGTGTGATAAAGAGAAAGAGTGTGGCTGTGTAGGCTTGAGTGTGAAAGAAAGAGTGCATAGAGAGAGAGATCGGACTGTGAGTGAATTGGGAAAAGCTATTGTATAGTCCATTAAGTAGGAATATTATATTATTTAGCCCTTGTTTAAGCCCTATTTTTCCATTAAAATATATTTTTGAACAATGATTTGACCACATTTCAACCATATATTTTTTAATAAAATAATATGACACGCAAACCTTAAAGAATTTCTTATTTTTTAACCACACGTTCTCTAACGTAACACTATTACAAAATGCATTTTTTGGAAAAAAAATATGGCTCAAACAAGAATTAATTAATTAAGTGGTGTGTATCAAAATGATATAAATTCAGATTTCTTCGAAAATGTGTTCTTATGAATGAATTTGGCATACTATAATTTGCCCTCATTTGATCCCTATTATTTTCAAAATATATTTTTCTGTCTTATTTTCAATCACATTTTTCAATAAATAATGTTACATGCAAATTCAAAACATTTTCTTATGTTTTAATCTCACTTTCTCCGTCAAAATACTATTTCAAAATGCATTTTCATCATAAATATGGGGCTCAAAAGGGATCTTTAATGGCCCAAATTTAATGTACGTTTCAAGCCCCGAAAACTCCGACCTCAATTAAATTTCATTCATATTGAACAATAACCCTGACTCCGTCCTTGAATAGTTGCATATATTGTTGTTGGAATTTGTTATTTCGCTATTACATTCATTGGATATCACACGTTTGAAAATATAATTGATGACAAATTCTTTTTTCACTTGAAAAATCCAATAGACTTGTTGCAATGACAAACATGTTCATTTTTGTTCATGAATTAGAAATTACCAGTTAAATCTTTAAAAAAAAAGGCTTTTAAAGAACAAGCAATTTATTCGTCAAGTTATATTTTTGTGTATATTCATCTTTAGTTTTTAGAAAACTCATGTATATGTCGTGCCGATGTTTGACATGATAGAAACTTGGGGTGCCAAATAAGGCACACTCGAGCGCCAATGATTGAAGTCTACCGTCCTTGGAGTGTCTGAGTTTTGTTCCTGCGTCCTTAATATTTGACCCACTGTAAAAAAATGTCTGAATCTGCCCCTGACTTGTAGGAACTAGGGGTGTCAACGAGCCGAGAGCCGAAACTTTTTGCTTGGGCTCAGTTCGAGTAAAAATACTTAGAGCTTTTTTTGGTCTGAGCCAAGCAAAAACTTGGCAAAAAAATTTAGGTTCGATCCGAGCTATTGTGACAAATCTAAATTTTTTTTCAAAGAATTTAAAATTTGTGCAATTTATACGTATTATAAATAATATCTAAATATTAATATATAGAAAAAATTACAGCTAAAATTAAAAAAAAAAAGTGACATGCAAGTTTTTTTATTATTTTTATTTTTTAAGCTCACGGGCCAGCCCCCGACTCGAGAGACGCCCCAACATGGGGTTCTGCCCGAGCCTCGGCTCGGCCCCACCAAGCCACGAGCCAACTAGACTCAGACTTTTTTCGAGCCGAGCCCAAACCGACAGAACCATTTTGCCATCCCTAATAAGAACAATCTAGAAAGGTATGGAGTGCCATATTCAAGAATGATCCTTGTTAAGAAAGTGGAGAAATTTGCATGACTTATTAAGTTGTAATGAAAGCTTTATTAGAATATTTCTTGTAAATATCTAGATGGAATAGCCTTGAAGATTAATTTATACCATAAAACTAAATAGATCTCCACTGTCCATATGAAACAAAGAACTATAAATAGGCCAATGAAGCCTTATTAGTAGTTAACCAAGTTGATATAAAGCAATAATGAGCTTGAGACTAAATTGTATGAGCTACAACCAATGAACTTGAGAGGGATAAGTCGAAGTTTTAATATGAAGAGTTTTACATTCTTTTGTTATATATATTGTCTATTATCCTTTTTCTTTTCGTAAGATTCTTTCTATTATGTGTCTAATGCATGGTGACCGTATATAATAATCGAGAGATATCATAAGTTGTACAATTATCAATGGACCTTCTCCAAGATGAGACGAAATTGATATCCAATCAATATATAAAAACTTAAATTATAATCGAATTTGCCTTCAACTTGTCTAGTTAACAAATTTGTTGCGTATGCATTATCCTAACAGATTTATGCAATTCTTTTATATAAAATTTGTAAATAAAAAGTAACTCATATGAATTATACATCATCCACAGAACCGGATCGTGTTAAGCCCAACTATCGAACCTTGCAGTCTCGAAGAATTTTAGATCAGTTGCAAAATAAAAGGCCACTTAAAAAATATAAAAACTTAAATTATAATCGAATTTGCCTTCAGTTTGTCTAGTTAACAAATTTGTTGCGTATGCATTATCCTAACAGATTTATGCAATTCTTTTATATAAAATTTGTAAATAAAAAATAACTCATATGAATTATACATTATCCATAGAGCCGGATCGTGTTAAGCCCAACTATCGAACCTTGCAGTCTCGAAGAATTTTAGATCAGTTACAAAATAAAAGGCCACCTCAAAATTGGGCCATGCTCACTAAGTGTTGTGACCTAAGTTACACCTATAGGGAATAGAGACCAATATGCGGAAACAGGGGTGATAGGGATTATTGGGTCCTTAACATAGAGCAAATTGATATCGTCTGTTCATAAACTATAAATCATTTTTCTAGTAAATCAAAATTTTGTTCAGATTTCCAAATTTAAATATCTTTGTTTTAAAATGCAACATACCCAAGAAAGTATCATTAAGCTAAATGGAAATCATGGTACAAATAAAAAAAAGTTTCAAATTAAACTACTTGAAGACCTAAGTGTCAAAACTTGGCATCGAGAATTTGTTGTTACATGCTAGAAACTAACATTTATTCTGAATCTGGATCACCGTAAATGATATCAAGAATTGAATACAATGACGATTCATTATCAAATTCACTTGTAAATACTTTGCTTTTCTCATAATTGGATATAGTATTGAATCCACCATCTTTGCTTCCCAATACATTCTTTTCGACATTTTCATGTATTGTAATGATTACAGTACCACATTCCATTGCAGTATCTATACAAACCGGAGCCATCTCAATATCAATTGGATCTAATACATCACTTTTGGAAACTGCCCTACTCGTATGACCACAAGGATAGTCAGCCACTGTACTGGGCACATGTCCTCCCGATTTGTCACCACCAAGACGATTCGTTTCTTGTAATTCAACCATAACATTGATTTTATCAACTACAATTCTGGCACCAGATCCAAATGCCCCCGATTCATTTTTATCAAAAAGATTTACTGACGAATGATCTCTTACAACTGCAGAGGGTTTTGCAGTATAATCTGTGTTCCTTTGACTTTTAGTAATTGGAACTTCTTCCTTATCATCATCATTTTCAAGCCAATTTTTATATAGGTCATCATTCAGGCTCAACGATACCTTTTTCAAGTATACTGGTCTGAACGTTTCTTGGAACCTTGCAGCTCAGACCTGTGGAAGAGAAATCTACCAATGGAAGGACCCGAGGATGTATGAGCACTTCTAGGGCCAGGAGGGCATTTCTAAAATATTCAGCAAGGCATGATCCCATTTCTTGCATGCCTGCAGATTAAAAAGAAATAACAAGCATATAATCAAATATATTTTCACAAAAATTTTGGATGGTACATATAAATGGACATCAAAGATAGCTTCTTGTCATAAAAAACCGAGTTTCAGTCAAATGCACATGATAATCCGCAACGTCTTTATCAAATTTTGCTAGAGTAAAGTTCCAAAAGCTAATTCCCACTGAATCTACAGAGAGATTTGAGCTCTGCAATTGTCTACTTCATTTTCTTTTGTTCCATTTTTTGAGAAACTAAAGAGAATATTGCATATAAAAGAACAAAAATTACCTTTACGAAAAAGTTCTAGACCAAGGGAAAAATATGGTGAGCGAACACGACCTCGTGAAAAAAGAGATGCTAAAAGTGCACGTAAGGAAGCCAGTTGAAAGTCTGCCCAGAGTGGAGTAGGTCACAAAGAAAAATACTTCTTTCCTCCTCGACCCATCCCCTTTTACAGGCATTTGTAGCAACAGCATTAAGAAGATGGTCCACATTTGCTTGCCAGCTCACCAAGGGATAAATATGGTAAGCGAACACGGCCTCGTGAAAGAAGAGATGCTAAAAGTGCACGTAAGGAAGCCAGTTGAAAGTCTGCCCAGAGTGGAGTAGGTTCATCACAAAGAAAAATACTTCTTTCCTCCTCGACCCGTCCCCCTTTACAGGCATTTGTAGCAACAGCATTAAGAAGATGGTCCACATTTGCTTGCCAGCTCTCAAATCTCAACCAACCACCCTATTAATAATGGTTATGTTCTTGTGCATATCAAAATGAGAGAGAGAGAGTAAAAGTTTTTTTTTTGATAACCGTGGATGTCCGGGCCAACTTGCGCGTACCTCGACTAATTCCACGGGGCCATGAAGTTTACGGCCGGGTACTCACCTCAGTGGCCTTGAGGAGACTCGAATTGGTGACCATTGAGGAGCAAACCTAAGGCCTGATCAATTGAGCCACCCCTCAAGATTAAGAGAGAGAGTAAAAGTTAAACAATTCTTGTTACATAACATATTTTAGATTAAGAGGAAAAAGCAATTTCCAAACTGGGCTACATACATTAATATATTGTAGGAAATACAACTGATTCAAAAGCATAGCTACTAAACATCAAAGACATTAACGCTTTCAAATCAAGATTTTAATGACGAAGAGGAAATTCACCTGGCTTCTTTCATAATGTTCAAAATATTTCAAATTAAGAAGACAAACTAATTTCCCACAAGATCAATTACTAATTGTGGAAACCACGACTGATTCATAAGTATGATCATTAAGATTCAAAAACATCAATTATGAAGCTATGCTCTGATGTCAAATGAAAGCAAGAATCATATATAGAAAGTTATTAAAAAAAATTTATTTAAAGGTATTTCACCAGTCGGAAAATAAAGTACTGTGATTAGACTGTTCCCAAAGTTGACATCTCAAAATTAGTGCAATCAATACATAAAAGTATATGGAATTTCTTGCTAACAAAATAGAGCATTACTGGGTACTAAAAAAAAGAGAAGCATAAAGCCTATCCTGAAATATGGTAGCGCATATTATTCATGGTTTAGTTAGATAAGAGATAACGGTGACGCAAAATGAGCAAATTACAATCATGAGTTGGCTACTGATTGAACACAGGGATCAGCTGAGCATCCTGAAGCATTAAGGTTCATACATAGCAACTAAAAGCTTATCCAGTTCTCAAAAAAATTGCAATGATGATATCGAGTTATGCAATGGAAAAGTGAGTCAAAAAAATGTTTCAGATCTCAACACCCAATATATACGACGATGATTACAGCAGATATTACAACGGAAACTTACCACAGTTAGAAGAGCTTCTAATGCCTCCAACGCAGCCACCTTCACAGATAATTCGGCTGGTATTTGGGGCATGGCCACTTCCAAACTATCTCTATCAGGTTGTTCCTGAAGGGATTCTGTCGTACTTGCCTGCTTCCTTTTTCCCTGTCGAGATTGTGGCAGTGTCTCCACTCCACAGAGGCATTAGCAAAACTCATGCATTTCCTCTCATCACCAAAAGATTCCAAATCGATAAATGCATTAATAACAATTTCCTGGCTCAGATGTATTGCAACCCCTGTTCAAAGCAACCAATAGTGAGAAAATGATCCTGCTTATTATATTTTTACATATTCACAGTTAAAATCCTGATTAATAAAAGCAATCCCAGATCATAATAACTGGTACACATCAGGTGCAAGAAACATAGCAGAAATCCTAATATTCATGAAGTTTTTATTGTCAAAGCAAGGAAAATGAGAGAGGAGTCTGCCTCAAACATCTTCAGGGAAACAAGCTATAAGAAACACTATAAAGCTCATGCGTCTTTCAAAGCACGCTATCCCAAACTCTATTGGAATTTGGACATGTCCTTCAATATGAATAAACCAGCACCATGCTAACAGGACATTTAAAGGACTTCCTTTCTTTTCATTTGTTCATTTTACAGATTAATCTTTACATCTGTTCAACTAGCCAAGGTCAGCCTAATTACAGTTATAGATAATTAAATATAACAAATGTCTACATATATGTGAACACACCTGCGAATGTATATGGACATAAAAGATAGTGTGCCTTATAATAAGACCAGCTTAAATTAGAATATTTATGTAGAATGTGAAGAACATTAGGATTTGAGGAACTTTCTGTAAGATTATTTTTAACTTTTTCCAAGTTTAAAAGATCCCTTCACTTGCGTTATCAAAATTTATTTTCTTTTTTAATTTGTGTTCTGGCGCGCGGGCACTATTTTCCCCAACCCGAGAGTTATTTGGTTCCACGGCAGGCGCGCAACACTTATACCGGTGCGTGCGCACATGCATTTTTCGCAAACGAATCTTTAGTTTCCTTTCGCGATTCAAACTCTTTTGAAAATCAAATTGGGCGAGATTTTGACCTATTTTGTGACTCTTATAAATAGAGAACGAGGGCTACACATAAAAAAAAAAAAAAAACATTTTTTGCCTCTTCATACACCATAGTTTCATCAAATTCATTAAGAACAAGAGGTCAATTACTATATTTTGAGAGAGGAGATCGAGCCCTAGAAAGAAATTGAAGGTCAATTACATCAAGATTTTGAAGAATTCAACCTAGGGCATGATCTAGTTGTAGAAAACTAAATAATCATGATCCGGGTGATATTTTTTCATTATTCTGCTTGTAATTTATATATTAATATGTTAGGCTAGATCTGTTTTTGTATTGGATGAAGATGAACCCTATTTGCTATTTGTTTTAATTCAAGACTAGTAGTTTAATTTATTTCTTGCGTTTCTTGATTAATTTTGCATACCCATTGCATTATTTAATTGATTGACCGACATTAGATAATTAGTTTATTATTGTAGTGTTGAGAGACTCACGATAGGTTTAGAACGCAGCAAAATTAACATGTGTCCAATAGATGTTAGGAATAACATTTATCACATGTGCAATCATATAGATAATCTAAACTTTAATGCATTCTAATCATTCGAATTCGAGTTAGGAATAGATTCAGGTCGTGGTTAGAATAGATTTAATTTGTCTTGAAAAATAAAATTATATATCATAGTTTTATTGATTGTTAAAAATGCATGAACAAAATTAGATTACAAATCAAGAATTGAAATAGATAACAATAAGCGGATTCGAGATCTAATATAATCATCCATAAATTGATAAAAATCACATTTTTATTGTTTTCTTAGATTAATTAAACATAAAATCAAATCAAATTGTCTTTTGATTACATAATTCGAATCACATAAAAAGTTAGTAAACTTGAATTAAATTTATTCCCTGTGGGACGATACTCTCAACTCATCAATTTTATTACTTGTCAATTATTTCGTAAGTTTGCAAGTTTCGCACGAACAAGTTTTGTGCAGACTCCTCTCCATTAATCTTTCTAAATGATCCTTGTAGCGAGTTTTTAGCCGATAACTCCCAAGTCAAATGACCATAGGACACAAGATTTTTAGATACCCTCACAGACTTAATCACTCGAGTCATAAAGGTTACAAAGAGAAGTTTCACAATAAGATAACATCACATATTCATTACTTTTTTTCTTTTCTTTATCCGTGCAATGCCCCTTTATAAACACTCATTTTAAAAAATCGACTCCCAAATTAAGATTTTAACCTAATTTTCATATTATTTGTAGCGCCCCGAGTTCTGTTAACCCGGATTGCCACGTTGTCGTCTTTTGCCCTAATTTTGTCAATCAATTTTGCGGAAATAACCTAATTTTTAAAATCACATTTGCAATTGAAAACTACGTCGGCAATTAAAATATATTGGATAATTGTTCAAAAATTAACATTCTAGGCTAGATTCGTTTTTATATTGGATTAAGATGAACCCTATTGTTTATTTTTTTAAATTCATGACTAGTAGTTTAATTTATTTATAGTGTTTCTTGATTAATTTTGCATACCCATTGTATTATTTAATTGATTGACCGACATTAGATAATTAGTTGATTATTGTAGTGTTGGGAGACTCACAATAGATTTACAACACGGCAAAATTAACATATGTGCAATAGATGTTAGGAATAACATTTATCACATGTGCAATCATATAGATAATCTAAATTTTAATACATTCTAATCATTCGAATTCGGGTTAGGAATAGATTCAGGTCGTGGTTAGAATAGATTTAATTTGTCTTAAAAAATAAAATTATATATCATAGTTTTATTGATTGTTAAAAATGCATGAACGAAATTAGATTACAAATCAAGAATTGAAATAGATAACAATAAGCGGATTCAAGATCTAATATAATCATCCATAAATTGATAAAAATCACATTTTTATTGCTTTCTTAGATTAATTAAACATAAAATAAAATCAAATTGTCTTTTGATTACAATATTCGAATTACATAAAAAATTAGTAAACTTGAATTAAATTTATTCCATGTGGGACGATACTCTCAACTCATCAATTCTATTACTTGTCAATTATCTCGTACGTTTGCAAGTTTTGCACGAACAAGTTTTGTGCAGACTCCTCTCCTTTAATCTTTCTAAATGATCATTGTAGCGAGTTTTCAGCCGATGACTCCCAAGTCAAATGACCATAGGGCACCAGATTTTTAGATACCCTTATAGACTTAATCACTCGAGTCATAAAGGCTACAAAGAGAAGTTTCACAATAAGATAACATCACATATTCATTATTATTTTTTCTTTTCTTTATCCGTGCATTGCCCCTTTATAAACTCTCATTTTAAAAAATCGACTCCCAAATTAAGATTTCAACCTAATTTTCATATTATTAGCCTTAGACAATCCACACAAAATTTAGCACACATGGAATTCACATATATCTCAATGTCTCCCTACAAAAGCTCAATCACCCCCAAATTATTTTAGAATTGGTTTAAGGATGTATAATTTAATGATTATTTGGATTTAGCATCTAAGGTCCACTAATTTTTTTTTTTTTTTTTTTTTTTTTTTTTTATTTTTTTTTTTTTTTTTTT